ACTACTACTACTACTACTACTACTACTACTACTACTACTACTACTTACTACTACTACTACTACTACTACTACCCTACTACTACTACTACTACTACTACTACTACTACTACTACTGCTACGACCGCGACTGCTACTACGACCACGACCACTACGACTGATACAACTGCGACTACTACAACTACGACTACTATTGCAACTGCTACGACGACGACTACTACTACAAGTACTAGTGCTACTACCATTACTACAGCTACTGCTACGAAACTGCCACTACTACTTTGATTGGTGGCCGCTGAATATTGCACTGCACGAGCAGTTGCGTTCCTCGCGATGTAAGCATCGTTTGGACATTGCGATGACAACGCCTGGACAAGCCTGTGTAAAATCCCTCTTAAACCGAGAAATGTTTGAGAACCTGGCCAACTGTGGAATGGTAGTCGATGTCTTCGAAGCCGTGAAGTAGCACAAAGGATCTGCGAATTGCTGACAAGCCCGCTCCGCAAGAACAGGCAGTCTTCAAATCGCAGTGTCTGAGTTGGCACTAAAGCTGACAGCAACCCTAGTGGCAGAGCGCAGGATGTTTGAGCGCTCCCGTATTCGGATTCAGCTGAATCCTCGCTGCCTGTCCTGTCTGCAAAGTTGAAGAGCTGCCTCTCCCTATACTTTCAACTTTCAACCATGTCAACAATGAGTCAACAAGCCTGCTCGCTGCCTTTTCGGACTTTTCTCGCGGTGACAGCAGGCAAAGCAGAGCAAACACTTATTCACTGGAAGGCCGGGTCAATGGGAGCAAGAGTGAACAGTGGCAAAGCCAGTAGTTTCTTTGTGCTCATTGCGGTCGCCACGTAAAAAAAATATGTCAACCCGTGCCTTCAATTCATCTTCGGTATCGCTGAACAAGCTTGGCTCCGAAACCCAAAACCGGGCTAAGCCCCGGATGTTTCGGAGTTTCGGATCAAGTCGCTCGGCAGCGGATGATATCCTTCCAGATCGAATTTCCATTTGTTTTCCACATTAGCTTAGCTCTGTTGGCAGAGCCCTGCATTTTAATTTTCGCAGGTCCACTTTCGGCCGCAGTGTTCACGGATTTCGCAAAAGGAGCTGAGGAGTCGAAGCATGAAGGCCTCACGAACTGTCGGTGGATTAGAAATATGAAAATCCGTAACCGTAGTAATACAAATACTGAAAACAGGAACACTAGTAAGTAAGAATAAGAAGTATACGTAGTATCATTTATCATGGGCTGGCTTTCTTCTTGCGTGGTCCTACTAGCCACAAACAGACATGAACGGACCCCCTAAATGGGAGATACATAACGTAACTCCCCCGTTATCTCTGCCGCAAAAGTCCCGGCAACCCTGCTCTAAGTCTCAAGGCGGTGGAAGTTGTGTCGTGGTGCCAGCATGGTCGTTGTCCTGGTCGTGGTGATGAGGATTAGTAACTAGTAATCATGTTGGCAGCATAGCACAAGCAGTAGCAGTTGCAGTTGGGATGCAGTAGCAGTAGCAGCCGTACCCGCAGTCGTCGTCGTCGTCGCCGTAGTGGTAGTAGAGCAGTCGTAGTACTGGTGGTAGTAGTAGTAGTAGCAGCAGCAGCAGCAGCAGCAGCAGCAGCAGCAGCAGCAGCGGGAGTAGTAGGCTCGGGTGGGGGCCCCCTTTGAACCAGGCGAAGTTGCCAGCCTTTTGTAAATGCAACTCGCACATCGCATCTCTGTGCAAAGCCGTTTGATTATCAAACGTAGACTGAACTCAAGTTCGAGGCCTGTGTCATTCCAGGTTTTTGGATCAATGATGGCCGATGATGGCTTTACGACGCCGTTGCTCGGCACGGAAGACCTGGCCTCCAAGGGGCACGGTCTTCACACCTTTGAGTATACTTTGACGTTTGAATGGGATCCGGAAGCTTTTCGGGGTCCTGAGACTGGCAGAAGCTGGGATAATGTCAAGCGTTGCTATCGTCCAAAGCGGGGCTCGAAACTGATGTCTTGTCGGGGCGAGGAGTCAGAATGCAGTCCTCTGCATAGGTATCATCCAGGTATCTGATAAGTTCGCATCACCGAGGCCAATGAGCCCCAAATCCTGCGCTTCCACAATCACGCTGGATTTGCTGGAAGAGCTTCTGGGCAGAACTTCCCACATGTGTGGGAGATCACACTTCGGAAAGTCAGGCCATCTGGTTCTGAGTTGCATTTTATGCGCGACTGTACCCCGAAATGTGGCAAGATACGCAGTTGCTGGGAGTCTGGCGTGTGATCATCTCAGGATGTGCGACCCGGAGCAGATCACTGAATCGTTTGCCCTGCAGGGCAAGGTGACCCCCGGTGTCCACTGTGTTCCGCTAAACCCTAAACCCTAAACCCTAAACCCTAAACCGTCCTCTCTCTGGAGCTGCCTGAGTCGCCCAGGTGAAGCAGCTGCGTCGGGAGAAGCTGCTGCGCTTTTTGAAGAAGCACGGCTTCGCCCAGGATGTGCCTGGGAAGATTTGGGGGTTTCCGAGAATAGGGGACCCTAATATAGTACCTTAAATAATAGGACCCTTACTATAAGGACCCCAAAATAAGGTACCCCTTAGTTTCGGAAACTCCCATTTGTGAAAGGCTGGTCTCAGTTCCCAGAGACGGAATTGCAAGGTCAACGAGCCTCGCCTGCCCGGATGTACAGCCTGGTTCACGACCAAGAAGGAAGTCGCCGCTCGGGCCGTTTTACGGGGTTTTCGGATGCAGTCCGAAAGAGTGGCTGGGTGTTGCTTCTGGAGGGATGTTGCTTCTGGGCTCGTGGTCATCGGGGCCCCATCTGGAGCCTAGCATTCATCAGAACGACCGCCGCCGCCGTAGTTTTCCGTTTGGCCCCCGTGGACAAGAAAGCTGAAATCTACGCGTCCGCCTGTCTAAAGTCTGAAGACCCGTTCTGGCAGGACCCTCAGCTATCTGCTTCATCACTAACCCTAAGGTGAGATTGCTGCCAAGGCTTCGCTGATTGTAACGAAACAGCGGCACCCCTACATAAAAGACCCTGTTTCAGAGAACTGCCCAGATGCTCAACTGGGAGATTTCCTGTCACCGGCATGCTCCAGGTCTACCCCATACACGTGGCGGCGCAGCTCGGCGATTGCCAAACCATCCGGGCCTTGCTGGCTGAAGGCCCATCGCCGCGTCGCGTTGTTTGTTTGTCTATCCTAGGTTCCCCAGTACTGCCCTTTTTGGGGTTCCCTTATTCAAACTTTTTAGCAGCAATGTGGGCACCACCCTTATTATTAAGAGGACGCTGGGGAAATCTGGGGAACCTAGGACCTAGTATCCGTCCACTTCTTGATCTGTTCGGCTGTCTATGTATACGAGTCTCATAGTGCTGCCTAGACCTACTTTGGAGAACTGCCAGCAGATGCATAAACGTAAAAAGGAACGGGTCGACGGTTGTCGGCATGAATACAGCTACTTGTGTACATACGTGCATGTGCACATGTGAAGTTTCCTGCCCTAAAGCCCTAAATCGCGAAGACCCCAAAAGCCCTGGACTGTCTGCGAGATCCCGGCTATGCTCGAGGCCTGCACGGGAACCGAAGAGAGCCGACACTCCCAAAGGATCCGGGCACTGGATACCTCGTGCAGTTTTAAAACTCTAGAACCGGCCGCGCCGCGCAGCTCATGGGATGGTCTTCCTGGGCCTCGGAAAGGGGAAACTTGACGTTCGCAGGCCATTCGATAGTCTGGCTGAGTCCGTGCCGCTGAGTCCAGGTGCTGATCCAACAAAGAAGACATCCAAAGGACGCACGGCGGCAGACTTTATCAAGGACGCCGGCACCCGGGTCTAATTGGGTCTATGGCCCCGATTGAAAAGATGCCCGTATCTCAACATGGAAGTTTCCAAAAAATGATGGAACCCATGTAGACTTCAAATGGAGGCAAAGAGGAAAGGGACCATGGTTCGAAGAAAGCAGCCATAAAGTCGGATTTGCCCATCACTATGCCAGGAGTGCACAGGAGATCGCCGGGAAGAAGCCGGACGCATGCTGGGAGCTTGAGGTGAAGTAGTCGGGCTCTCCCGGGAGGAGACCGGATAAGGTCTCGGGTGTCCGAAGGTCCTAGGGGTGAAGCTTTAGGGATGCAGCTGTGTAGTTGCTTTTCGGACGAATGCGGATTCTCTCGAATCTTTTTCTCGTACTCTTGTTCGGACCAAGGGCTCAGAACCCAGTCTCCCCCCGAATCCTCCCAGATCAGGGCCATCCAGCTTCAAGGTGGCTTTTGTACCATCCTCTGAGATTGGAAAATCGCCATGAAGGCGCTACCCGTTACAGCCGATGTGCAGAAAGCGCAGAGTGTCTTCAGACGACTGCAATGGGGTCCTATTGCTTTTTTGTTCTTGTGGACTTTGTGCTTTCCATGCATCGGATTGTCAATAGGGTCAAAGGCGGGTATCAACTACGCGCAATGGGCACGGCTCTCACTTCACTTGAGAATGAAGGAGGCGACAGGGATTTGCTGCGAAGAAGAGGTATCGAAGTTTCGTCCAGTGTAAGTCGGAGCCGTGCGTGTTCATGTTGTATATTTCAATCGAATTCAGAGAGACAGTTGTTTGCCGATTGGACAAGCCTTGACGGCCTTTTTCTGAAAGGTTTTCAGGTCGGGGGCTGGCTCGGCAATGACACTTCGCACATGCTCTTCCTGCTGCAAGCAAGCCGTGGCCAAGTGGCCTGCCGTGTTGGCTGTTGAGCAGCACTCTGGATGCACGTTCTTTAAACCAACTAGCACCAGCCCCGAGCCGGCCAACTTATGGGTGCCTTTATATAATATACTATAGTATAATATACTATACTATAATATACTATAATTTAATATACTATAGTATAATACACTATACTATAAGATAATATAATGTGAAGGTGCTGTCTATGATGGGTTCCTCTGGCCTCGCCTACCAGAGCCCCCCAGTGTCGGCTAAAGGGGAAGGTGACAAGAAGGTTGTGCCTCATCTAAGGGTGAGAGGCCTTGATTTCCATTCCAGGTAGGTGGTTGACCTACCTGCATTCCTAGACTTTGGATGCAACGTCATGTGTATAAACTACTTGGTACAGAAAGAAGGAGCACGGGATTTTCGGCAATTTCTGCCAAGCGGAACTTGCGAACGAGCGTCTCCATAGGTCTCGAAGCCTATGTTTAGTGGGATGCTGTTGCATACTCTCGTGCGAGAAAGCAGACTGCCGACATCTGTGAGCTTTAGCGACTGAGTTTCCGGAATGAACGAGACCAGATTCCTAGGAATGGAGTGTCGGCATAGTTGTGAGGGTATACCAGTGCAAGTTCTCGGAGCACCTTGCATGGGCAAGCCAGTGGTATAAGTTGGATGTTTATCATTCCGCACCTTCGATGTTTCTGAGGCTTTCAGTACCTGAAGCGTGAATCAGCAGAGATGTAGGGTAAAGAACCGGCTTCATTCGGACAGAGCCGGCCCAGAAGATTCCAGCCATCTTAAAGCGTTACGGGCCGCAGCTCTGGCAATCATGGGCTTCGTGCCGAACACGCCGTCGCTTCCCGGGTCAACTGATATGTCCCGTGTCCGCAAAAGTCACGATCTCTGCAGGTACATGTAGTCAGTGTATTTCTGTCGGCCGTCTGTCGCGATAAACCACTTCGACCTCTGATCTGTGCCCGGCACTCCAGGGGGCCCCATAGCCTTGCCGACATCGAAGTCCGCGAGTCACGCAGCAATTCCTACGATTCTACAAACTCCACCAGGTGCGGTACTAATGAGCTGCAAAGGCAGGGGGTCTGTTCGCGGTTCTGCGCTCGGTTCAGGCTGGAGGAGGAGCCTTGCATTATGTTCGATTCTGGAAATAAGGCTACGTATGTTGAGAAGCTCAGTTCTCAGTAGCCAGGCCGGAAGGAAGTCTAGTCTCGACAGATGAAGGTCGTAACAAGTACTACCAGTAGTAGTAGTCTAGTAGTAGTAGTAGTAGTAGTAGTAGTAGTAGCAGTAGTAGTAGCAGTAGTAGTAGGCGCCCCGCCCCACCAACTACCTCTCCTAAACACTGTTTAAGCGCACATCCTTTCTACTCGGTACTTACAGTACTTTCGTGATGTCGTAGTCCAATACCAACCACCGCTGTTGAGGGGTGGGGGGTGGGTGGGGATTGATGACGTGCTTTTTGAGAGCACATCCATTTTACGAGGTCTTTACAGTAGTTTCG